TTTACATTGGAAAAAAAGCCCCTTCAGCCGTGAAAACAAAATCGTTGAACGCGTGATCATTGCGAGGGCAGCTGATATCCTAATACTTGCATTGTTCTCGGTAGAGCCCAGGAGCATCCTGGCCTCCTTCGGAAGGGCAAGGCCTGAGTTGCTGGCGCTGGACCAGGTCACCAGTCAGAGCTCCTGCCTGGACAGGCCGGGAGAAAAGGCCTGTGTGGCGTTTCACCGGGGCCAGAGGAAGGCAGAGAGTCCACGTGTGGGCTCTGAACTTTGGCAAAGCTGTGTACAAACTGGAGTCTCTGATGCAAATTAGGACCTACATAGTCCTAAAAGGCTAAGAAGGCCCCAGCTTCCCTGCCAGGGAAGGCCTGAAGAACTTGAAGTGCTGTTGCAAGAACGTTTTTTATTCACAGGTGAAGATCGCTGTGTGGTTACTGGGGCAGAAGGACCCAGGCACACCCACTGAGTGAGTGGAACTGCCCCCAAGAAGGCTATAAAGTGTTCGCGCAAGAAAAACCTAATGCAGAAAGTCTGCAGCTGCTGCCTGGGTTTCTATAACCTTTCCTTGATTTGTTGCCCCCAGCATGGAGGAGGAATCCACCTTGGCCACGGCACTGGTGCCCTGTGTGGTTATTTCAGGGCAGATTCCATTACCCCACCTATTCTCTGTGCCCTCCCACATACACTCCTCCCCCACCCATGAGAAGGGATCCAGAGAACAAGAGACCTGTAGTAAGCACCCAAGAGCAGGCATTTCAATCTAGACATATATCCATTCGGACTGCCTATCTTTTGTGGAAGTCAAGCTACTTATGGCAATTTCCATAAGATCTGTCTGTGGGGACAAGGTGAGAAAGCTGTTAACTATTGTCTGGCCCTGAAAAGGTCGTAAGTCAGCGCCTCAGTGGCTGACCTGTCAGTGGAAGGTATAAAGGCTTTATTCATGCAGTCACTGCCGTGTTCTCAGCTCTCACAAAAGTGTTTTTATGATTCAATTTTTCTTACCTCTTTTCTTAATTAAAAAGCCGAACCATTAGAACAGCACCTGCATCATGTCCTGACAGTGCCTGCATACTAATCCTGGAGCCTTTACAAGCAGTAATTATAACATAAAATCAGAGGTTGAATAAAACAGAAGGATTTTGCTCCCAAAGCCCCGCTAATCCCCTTTTAAAAGGGTCTGGTGAAATAATTCAGAACAGTTTCCGGAAGTTGGATTACCACTCCTTTTAAACAAAAAACAAAAAACTTTTTACAATGAAATGATATTTCACACTTAAAGGAGGCTGATTTTCCACAACAGTATTTTAGCTGAAAGAAAGTTGGCAGGCTTTGGGGGCAATAAGAAACATTTTACTACTGATTTCTTACTCACTAGAAAGAGCAACAGAAAATGTAGGGGAGTTTTTGTAGTCTATTTGAAGCATATTTGTCAGGTGAAAATCACCATAGTGTGAGCAACAATTGCTTAGATGCATCAGAAGACTATACTTTTTACCTCAGAGGAAATAAATAAAAGAGAAATGTGTACTTTTTATGGCTTACAGATATGTATATTTCAGGCAAAACATCTTGTACCAAAGTTCTGATAGTATGTTTTTTAACTTAAATTAATACATTGATGAGTATAAAAGCTGGCCAACTATTAGACCCTGAGTAAAATCCTTGAAAAGGACAAACAAGAGACCTTACACTGAGTAGTTTCTCACTAGTTTTAGAAAAGACTTCGACCCTCATCTGACTAACTGGGCAGGGGGGTGTGACTCATTAGCAAGCCAGTTACTCAGAAACAGTGCAAAAACTCACCCATCGGTCTGATATGTTACTAGAGACATAATCTGGTGATGCTGTGGTAGATTAGCTTTCTCTCTGCTCTGCCATTTTTCTACAGCAGTATAGCAAAGCCATGTAGTTACCAAATTATGTTGTTTTCCTTTCACAGACATTTCCCAAGGCTGTTTATCCACTGTAAGGTCAGAGCCATGTACATCCCTGCTCTCTTTGTTTTGAATTGATCTATATATTGTCACTTATATTTTGGTTCTTGTAAAGGACCAAAAAAACAAAAAAAAAAAAAACAAAAAAACAAAAAACAAAAAACAGATGAGACAAGTTTCAAAATCTATTACACTGGACATATTTACATTAAATTAACTTGCACCCTGCCTGAAGCATTTTTTTCTAACTTCTTTTTCAAAGCTCTGCTTTAGATATTTGGAAAATCACTGGACTACGAATGGGCACAACCTCAGATACCTCTTCCGCAAACTGTAGAGTGGATTTCTCTTTTCTTGAGTGATTTTTGAGCTGAAACTCAGTAACTTTCTGACAAAGTTCTCATTTACTCTTTTCATTGGTGATATTTGGATAAAGGGCCAGGCTGTCTGGATGACAAGTTAAAAAGACAATGACAAGCAGAAAATAGTAGTTTAGAGCATCTGGCCACTGGGTGACTGTGATATTACTCATTTTTTTTTCCTGCAATGAAGATTTGGTAAAATGAAACCACGACTGATTAAAAAAAAAAAAAAAAAAAAAAAGATGCTCACACCTTGCTGGAAAGAATATATTTGTTTCTGACTTTTGTCTCCAACTTATCTGTCCTCAGCTGGCTCTCACTCACTTCCCAAATGCATTTTCACTTCCCTTCACAAAGTCTTGAGGAGCCCACATGGGATGCACAATAGTCCTCAGAGAATTACAATTCAAAAAAACCAATACCTAGGCTCACCAGGACCATGAAGTTCAGTATATTGCCAAAGTCTTAACAAGTCATGAGAGTGACATTAACACTATCAGGTCCTTCAGCTTTATTCTACACTAAAAGAAATTCTCACTAATTTTTCTTAGTGCTTTAAAAGACTGTGTCTCTGCTTCAGTGCTTGGCTATACTAGTATCTTTGAAATTCTCAGAAAAGCAAAATTATAGTAGCCCCTGAATTCTATCCAATCCTCGGGGATGCCTAAGTATGGCACAAGGTGCCATGAGGCTTCAGATGTCTAAGGTTTCCACATGTAGAAAAGCTCCCAAATAGTTATCTAATTCCCTGAGGAGCTATGGGGCACTTTTGAAAAACGGAGCAGAAAAGCAGCAGTTATAGCATAACTAGCATTTATCGCTAAATGTTTCAAGGATTACCTTATTTAACACCCAAGCTTATTAAGTCTGTTACAGTATTTTTAAAAAAACCTACTGAAAATGTTGATCTCATTGTTCTTAAAGGTACAGGAGTCAGATCAGAGTGAATTTGTGTCATTCGTGAGGATACAGGGCTAGTGAGCCACAAACAGGCTGCCTCTTCCCTTCCGATGCCACTGTGTTGCCAGCAGAATTTGGGCCTGGTGTTCTGCGCAATAACAAGGGTGAAGCTTGAGTTGGTAGGGAGATGGGTGTTGACTGTGTCCCTAAGCTGCCTTAGCCACTTGTCACTACAGAATGGGTGACTGCCCTAGAAGATAAAGTGATCCTAGAGAGAGGCTCGCTATGGACACTTGGAGACCAAAGAGTTCAATTCTTGGACCAAGGTTGTACCATTCCACTCTTCACGAAAAATAAGAAAGAAATGATAGATAGATAGATAGATAGATAGATAGATAGATAGATAGATAGATAGATAGATAGATATAGATAGACAGATAGAAATAGACAGACAGACAGACAAACTTTAACAAAGTTAGAAGGAAATGGTGATCCTCCCAATAGCCTGGAGCAGAGTTCCTCTTTCCTCTGCCCTTACCCTTGGTTCTTTTGCTGGGACCAGGAAGTTTCAAAGGCAGAACTTCTCTTTTGCAAAAGCCTACTGGAGGATGTCAAAGGAGTCACCCTCCCAACACCTTCCTTTCCTTCCACAGCGTGAAGTGGTTTGGGCACAGAACAGGCAGTGCCTTGCCAGTTTGCCACTAGCCTGCAAGGGATAGCAAGGTGCAGATTGGTTGGTTTTTAGGATCTCCTCTCTAGTCCTGACTGGACAATCCCAGAGGCTGAGAGAACTCCAGGCTACCAAGACACAGCAGAGTCCAGACCCGGGAGATCCTTGTGTCTGTCTTTCATCTTTTTTGTTTGTTTGTTTGTTTGTTTGTTTGTTTTAGAACTTCTCCCTCTAGGAATACAGTCCTTCAGCTCTAAGCTAGTTGTCCAAGATACTATCTAAGGTGACCTGCCATTCCCACCCCAATATCTATCATTCTCCCACTCCACACAATTGCGCACTCTAGTCAAGATCACCAGACCAAACTTCTCAGCAATCAGAAAGAAGTCAGGCATACATCTCCAAGATGTGACATCTGTGCAGAATTTGGGGTCCAAAATGGGTACTGGATTCTATGAGCAGAGACCACAGTGGAAGTAAGAGATTGTTCTTGTGGTTAAGATGATTCTGATACATTTGGGAAAAGTTTTCCAGTGGCAAGCCAGATAAAGACACAGGGTGCATGCTAAAACTCACCAAAGAGTCATTGGAGTGTAGCCTTCCAGCCTTAAGGTTGAGAACCTTCACAGATCCTTCTGGGGACCTCTGCCTACCTGGAGTTCCAACAAGATCCCTGCAAGTAGCTGTACCTACAGCATATCATCAGTTTAGGCAGATTTGGAGCCAAATCACTATCTTTCTCTAAGTTCATTCACTTCTTATTAGTCCCTGGGCCTTTTGCTAGGAATCAGAGGTGGTTCATGAGAGTGCTACAAACTATAGGAAGGCATCCTCACCAGACAGACCACTGAGCATCCATTTATCTTTTCTCCTCTGAAATGTAAATCAGTTGCTACCATTAGTGTCATCGGGGTGAGATTGTGGGCAGAAAGATCTCTCTCCAATCGTTGTTTCGTCAGGTCTCCTATTTTGTTATCTCAAGTGACTAGGCCCAAATAGAATCCTGCTGAACCATGAAGAAAGATAGGGAAAAGGACGAGCAGCTGTAAGAGAGCCCCAGACCTCTCCTAAGATGAAGAAGCAATAACTGGACACTGGAAAAGGAAAACATCCAATCATTTATTTCCAAATAACACAGCAAAGAGAAGGCACATGTACACAAAGTCTTTTGGAGGGAAAAAACTCATTTTATTTAACTTACATGTACATGTTTTCAAGAAGATTATGCCTCAGCTTTCAACATTGTTTTTATTTAACAATCACTGTCAAATACACACAACAACTTTTTTTTCTTTCAGGTTAGTTCCTAATTTAGCTGCTGTTAAAGGGAGAGATTTTTCAAATAACAATGTGGATAGACAAGGTACCAATAATCTAAGGGTTGACTCAGACCTGTGTGTATGTTAGTGATGATTATGAAATACTTGCCCAACTGTATAATTCACATCCATTGCAATCATTATATTCTCCCATAAATTAGCAATACAGACATGTGGAGGATCAAGTAAACAAACAACATCAATATAAGAGACATTTTGCAGCAACTATAACCGATCACATGGGTTACAACTTGGGGAAAGGTCTTCACAAATCATTTAGTAAGCACACAGGGTAGGGTGATGGGCACAATCTTATTTATTTAAATCACCTTTAGAACTACAGTAGGAAGTTAAGAAGACCTGAACAGGGGCAAAGTTTCTTTTCTAGGCACAATATAAAATGAACTGCACGTAGGGGAAGGGGTTGGCATGTGCATGCACTTTTTGGTCACCATCTTGTAAACCAAACCTTCTGAACTCCAAGATAACAACGACAATAAAGGAAATATTAAAATGTTCCTCTTGCTTATGCTACCATCCTTTGATGACAGAACGTGTGTGCTGATGGCTGCTAGTGGTGAGGAAACACGACAGATCTATTTATAGCACAAATTTCTTCGAAAAAAGGGAAAACTTAAGCATCACTTGTTTGCAAGCTTAAGTTCCAAGAACCCCAGGTAGGAATATTTGGAGCCTGAGAGATCTCCAAGAGAATCCATCCAGTTAGTAAACCTGGGCTGATGGGATGCAGACCAGGACAGAAAGCATAAACACAGGAGCATAGACTTGGGACACTTACCCTCTGCCTCTACCTTCTCGCATTACCTAATATACCAGTTTTTGTGCAAACGGCCTTCCAACATCTACACATATCACCAAGACTGAAACTACACAGTGCTTTTGTTTTTTGTTTTTGTTTTTTTTTTTTCCTCTTAGCAATACTTATCCCTAAAGTTATCTACTGGTGGAGCATAGGGATTTTTTTTCTTTAAGAAATTTGATTTTATCTCTTTAGCAATGGTTTGAAACCAATGGGGCAAAGTGAGTTTGACAGAGAGGAGAACAAATCGCTGACAAAGAACCTTTTACATTTCATCAGCGTTGTTAGGACGACAAGCAAGAATGTCTCAGATAATAACTCCCACTTCAAAGATTTCTCAGCTCAATAGAAGGCAGACCATCCTTTTTATTCAACCACAAGGACGGGCACTAAAGAAGACGCTACTGTTTGATTTTTTTTTTCCACCGTGTTTATTTTTCCCCTATTCACTAGGGTACTTGGATAAAATAAACAACAAGACAATTAAGAGAACATGGACTTCTAACTTTGCTGCCGTCTTCTCCATCCCCTTGGCCTTGGGCTTTTCAGTTTGTGCCCAAAGCCCGCCCAAACCTAAGGCTACCACACAGTGGCACATCAGAGGAAAAGTTTAAGGGGCTGCAAGACTTCCAGGGTGAGGAAGCAGTAGAGCACCTCTGGGGAAGGCAGTGGAACTAACTGTCCCTGAGGCGCACTTAACAGCTCCCGGTACTTCCCAGATTCGTCTTAAGTCCCCATTGGGCTCTGTGCTGCTGACACCCGAGCTGGGGATGCTCCTTTGGTAAGCTTCTCGGGATGCTCTAGTCATTTACTCTGACTCTAGGGCCTATGGGCGCTGTCAAAATGCTCCGAGTCCGGCTCCTCCTCCCTTTCTTGAAAGAATCCCGGGTACCAAAGCCCCCCTGCATCAGGGTGCAGGGTGAACCCCTAAACACTGGCAAGACAGGTCCTGGGAGGAAGTATATACTGGAGAGCACGGTGACAGTATTAAATGGCGTGAAAGCAAAGGTCAGCGCAAATGTATCTTAATAGAGTGTCCGCAGTGAAGTGTGCCGCCTTTGAAGCGGCCGCTCCCCGCGCGCATTTCCATGGCGAGCCTAACGCGGCGTGCTGATGCACCGTCAAACTCACACTTTCAACCCCAAAACCCGACTCTTTGAACAACCCGAGCTTGATTGGACCTTTCTCCTTTTCTTTTCCCTCTTACAAACCATTTCCTCGCCTTTAGAAACTCGCCATCAAACCCAAATACGCCCTCTGATCACCGCAGAAAGCAGAAACAAAGAAGGCTGAGCGGCGATTCAAGCGGCCCTTTTCTTCCCTCGCATTATTATCCATTTTTATTATGATCGGGAACAAGTGCCCATTCGCGTGGGTTTTGTTTACCGGAAATTAAATGAAAATGATTTAGTCCGCGTCAAACAAAAATATATACTTGTATACACAAGAAAAAAGGCCTGTTAGACGTAAATATTATGTCCTTAATGAAAAGCCTGGACGGGCTCCAGGCTCGGCCTTTCAGGATTTCAGTGAGACTTGCCCATTGCCATAGAAATCCTAACTTACCATGAAGATGCACCGTGGCGAAGAAACACTGCTTTGTGAGAGAGCCCTTTGATGTCGCAGGCGCAAGATGCCGGCGCTCAGCTGCGCAGGGCAAGATTACCTTGCAAGCAACATCTGTAACAAGCAAATGAAAAATTAAAGGCGATTAGTGATCGGCCAAATATTTTTATTTCATTTCGTTATTTTGGACTGGGGTGGAAGGCAAAACGAAGTGTTTCGAAACAGGAGAGAAAGGAAGGAGCCCTGTTTGAGGCGGGGCAGCTTTATAGTATCAGCAGAGGCAGTCAAGTCCCACAAATGTTCTGTGTACCTTGGCAGTGAGGTTAGTGCTTGCCCATGGGAACAAGTTCTTTGCTTCTAACTGTCCCAGGCTGCCTCTGTGCTAGGTTGTAACTCAACAACAGGTTCACTAGAGCTGCTTTTGAAAGCTTCCGGGTTTCATTAGGGGTGAGCACTCCATTCCAGCCAAGGTGGTTGCTTTATTGGACAGAAGTTGTGGGGTCTGTGGGACCCAAGTGAGAATTTTTTTTACTGGATTCGGAGCAGGAAGGGATAGAAAACAATGCAGCCGGGTTCTCATGCTAAGACTTGTTTGTCCAGCTTTTATTGTATCTAATGTGCCTCTTTTGGGTGGCACTGGGGATAATCCGAGAGCTTCATGGGAATTGGGCAAGTCTCTACCACAGAGATACACGCCCCCACCCACCCACCCCCCGCCCCAGCCTAAGGGCTCAGGTTGTCATGTTGAGTTCCTAGGGCCTTCCTTCCGGGCAGAAATGCTTCCCCTCTCGCACATATTAATTTCAGATTTTTAGTGACCTGGACAAGTCTGCCTGTACTGCCCCTCTCCTTTGCCATCATTCTCTTTCCTTCGGTGGTGTTTTTCTCTATTTAAACTAGGGTTTTGAGGCAACTCCTCCTTCCCTACAGAGGGTGGCAGACTAGAAAGAAGCAAGGCACCCCCGTGTTCTCCCCCTCGAGAACTGCAGAGGCCTTGCTCTCTACCTCTACCAATATCTGATTTTTTTTTCCCCCAGGAGGACTCCATAACCAGCACATCAAATACTTTCAACTCTTATAATGTTGTTGCACTTTATTTCACACATGCCCACAAACTTTTTAAATAAAGCTAACATTGTGTCGTTTCTGACAAAAAGAAAATGCTATTAGAGAATTGACACTGTTCTCTGAGGTGCATGCATCCCTGGCTGTGGAGACCTTGATTCAGTGATGACATCTCCCAGCTCCATATCCCTGACTGGAGCACCTATGAGGCTCTAAACAGATGGGGGCTGGAAAAAGTAAGCCTGGAAGCTTCACAACTCAGAATTCTTGAAAACCTTCTCGCTTTCCTTTGTCCATGCTTCCTATTGTTTTGGACTTACTCCCCACTGCAAGCATAAAAATGTAAATAGAATTTGAGGTCTGACAGAACAGACTTATCTATGTGCTCTGATAGGCATTGGGATTGGAGGTGTGCCGCATCCCAAGAAAAGGGGAGAGCACTCCCCTCCTCCATTACTTATCTCCCTTACAGAGGTGGCTGGAAAATGCTGGAGTTCTGTGTTTCTTTGTTGTTGTTGTTGTTGTTGTTGTTTGCTTATTTTATTGTTGTTGTTTTTCAAGACTAGCCAAGGAACAGGAGAGGGTATGGTGGCAAAGGAAAAGATAAATGGGCTTCGAGAAAATGGTTGTGGAATTCTGTCTGCCACCTCCTGGGCTCTGAACTCCTCCGATTGGGATTGATGGGCAAGAGGAGGGAAAGAAAAAGAGTCTGTGCCTGGGAGCTGGGGAGGCAGTGGCCCAGGCCTCAAGGAAAATCTTCTTCACCTTTCCACACCCACTGGGAAAATTTATAGCTTTACTTTTGCCACCTGCCGATGTCAGAATTGTGAATAAATTCTAATAAGTTTCTTCTTCTTCTTTTTTTTTTTTTTTATCAGTCTCTTTATCCCGGACATCGGTTTCATGGGCAAAGGAGAGTACAGAATGTGAGCGTAGAATGACCACTTTATGTTTTCGTATACAGATCTAGTATCAGCATATTCCATGACCTCCAGTAAGTTTTAGTGACGGTCTATCTGCTTGCCTGCCCCTCTACTCTCTCCCTCCCTTCGTTCCTGGCCTGTTCCTTGAAGCCTCAGTGGCCGGGCCTAGACTCAAGTCGACATAAACCAGAGCAGCACGCTGGTAAGCAGCCCTGATACTGGAGGCGGTGGTAGCTGCGGCTGGGCCCAGAGGTGGCGTGAGGCTGGGGTGGGGGCGCTGCAGAGTCAGCCTCCGCTGAGCCAGGAGCCCGAACACACGTACCATTCGCTCATGTCTGTGCCACGCACCGCCACCGCCGCTGTGCAGGCTATCGGGGGCTCACGGCCGCTTTCTAAAGAGGGAGACGTGAGAGCGGACGGTATTGCTGAGTCGTAGCCAGAGCTGGGTGGCGGCGAGCGACCGTGAACTTTCATGTGCTTCCGCAGAGAGCTGGGGTGCGTGTAGCACTTGTCACACCCGCGCACCTTGCACATGTAAGGCTTGTCGCTCGTGTGTACGTGAGAATGCTTCTTGCGGTCGCTGCTGTTGGCGAAACGCCGCTCGCAGCCCTCGAACTCACATCTGAAGGGCTTCTCGCCTAGGAATTGGGGGGAGGGGGGATAACGCAGAGACATTAGAAGGGTGTGGGCTGCGTCCCAGTCTCGGGATTGTACCCTTCCCGTTGCTCTTTTGTTTTCAGCAAAAGACCCACAAAAGATTTTCAGAAATTACTTTCCTGTGTTCTTTAGGACTGACACCCCTCCCCCACCCGATGGGGAGAGGAAGCCCACTCCTACAGACTGCCACCCCTCCCCCCTCTTCGTCCTGTGCCTGGGGGTGGGGGTGGGGGGCGGGGGGCGTCGGAGGAGGAGGAGGAGCGACGATGACTCCATCACAGTCATTTCCATTCTAAAGAACCCTGATCCACGCACGTTGTTTTCCTCCAACTTTTATCTATGTGGAGACTGGAGCACCTTTGCCCAAAGCATCGAGTTGATAGAGGAGGAGTTCACGTTTGCTGGATTTGAAGTTACTGCCCAGGCCATCTGTCTCTGCCCTAGTGAGCTTTGCCCAGCAATCCGCCGGACGCACACTCCATCCTGGTCCAAAGTGTTTTCTGAAGTAGGTTTTGTGCAAGTGCCAAGGCAATGAGAGGATTTGAGAGGGCGAGCGGTGGGTGCACATGCGTGTGCGTAGTGTGGGAAACATTCTGAGCAATGATTCCCCTTAAAGGCTGTTTTCCAGGAAATAGAGGCCCCTCTATGTTTCAGCCAGTGAAGGCAAACATACTGCAACATTCTTCAAATCTTGGCTAATCTATCCGAAATCCCTCAAGATAATGTTTGCCGCTGGTAATATTTTATTGTACGGATCCGTCAGTTTTGCGGAGACCTTGTGGAGTGTAGGGGGGAGGGGGCTCTCAGTCCAAACTGATAATTCCAGGTCTGTGGTCGTCCCCAGACAATTCCCGCCTGCCTGAGAGCCCAGAGGCCAGTATGGGAAAGCAGGCTCAGACCAAGACAGATCTTAAGTCTCTGTTGAAATCGCAGCCCCTGAGTGCAGCAAGCTTCGATGAGCGTCTGCTACCGGCAAGCCGGGTCCGGCTCCTCTGACCACCGGGTGGTCTAGGTAAAACTGCAGGAAGGCAGGAAAACGCACAAAGCTTCGGGAATACTGGTTGGGCCAAGCCTTATTCCAGGAGTTCTTTGCTGCCTGAATTTGCTGCTCTGTGGAAAAGGAAAGAACTTCCCCCACCCCCAAACCCAGAATTTCAAGTCTCTGGCTCAGCTGACATTGTTTGGGAAAGGAAAGTGGAGGGTGTCTGTGCTCTAAGCAGCCGATGGTCTTGGGGGTGATCAGGGGTGCGAGAATCTCTCTAGCAACTGACTGGGGAGCAAGATGCTCCACTATTGGCTTTGTGGCCTCTTCTTCCGTGGTTTACAGGAAAGACTTCCTGATAAAACCAACAAAGACCCCATTCCACCGCGGGCGTTGACGCTCAGGTTGAGACCGAGGTTTACACGTAACCTGCCTGCCTTTGGCTCGGGCAACAGCCGGTGATCCCGTCTCTCCTACACAGCCCACAGATAGTGCTCACCCTTGCTGGAGTGCAGCTGGTACACTAGGGTCCTCTGGAAGGTGTTGCCCGCTGCCGTTTTCACAGGACAAGGCACAGTCTTACGAAAAAGTGGAGGAGATGTATAATGAACAAATCAGTGTCCCTATTTGTCCCTGGATTTTTCTCCTCTGATTCCACCAGCGTTTGCAAACCCCAAACTTTCCTCCCTCCTTGCCCATTCTTCTTTATAAAATAACTTACAAAAATAAAATCATTTGAAGCCTACAAAAGAGAATAAGGTTTTTCGGGCGTGTGTGGAGGGGAGTAGAATTTGAGGTTAGAATTTAAGAATAGAATTCCCTCACCGGGGTGGGGTGGGGGAGAAAGAAAAAGAAAAAAAAAAATTCAGCTACACACATATCCCATTCCAGCGTCTCGTCGTGTAAAATAGAAAAGTATTTCGCTCGAGACGAGAAACGGAGAAGTGGGGGAGGAGGGGGGAGGCAGGTACTGAAATGCTTCAGTCCGGGGGAGTGATCAGGCCCCTGGGAGGCCAGGTGCAGCCCGGCCTTAGCGTTCCCCAGCTGCAGGAGGCGCCCTGGTCTCTGCGCTTGACAGCCCTCCCACCCCGCCGTCACCCCCGCCACCCCTCGCCCTTCCCCTCCCCCAAGTCCCTGCGCGACGCCCTGGGTGGGAGGGTGGACCCTGCGGCGCCGCCGTGCTGGGCCTGCCTCCTGCGGGACGACCTGAGTCCTGGCTGCGCCGCCTAGGCCGCGAACCTCCGGCCCGGTCCTCGGACCGGGGATCCGGAGCCCGCCAGGCCTCCTTCCGCGCGGGCGAGCGCAAAGTTCGCGGGCCTACATACAGGACGCCCGGCCAGCGCCATTTTCTCGCACTTGTGGCTCGGTCTGTTTTCGCGATGACTCCGCCCCAGAGCGGCCCGGGCACCGGCCTGTATTCCCCCTCTCCACCTCCACCCCCCCCCCCCACGAGGGCTGACTGACTGCGGGGAAAGATGGGGAGAGCCCGGGGCAGGGGTCCCGGGAGGAGCGCCAGTAGGGGAGGTTGGCACGGCGCGCGCTCCTGGCCCGCGCCTCCCTCGCCGCCGCCGCACCATTGTTCCCGGGTCTCTGTCACAGCCACAGAGGGAAACCTTTCTTCACCCGCCGCCTCCAGAGCCAGGCCTGGGAGTCACAGTCGGGACAATCTCAGCTAAGAAATCTGCTCCTGATCGCCGCTTCCGCGACTCGATGGAAATGAAACGCCATTAATATTTGAAAAGGCAATTATTTTCCTGTTGAATCGAAAACTGTCTTCATGAATAATTTGTAGAGAGTTCTATTGCCATTTGAGAAACATTTTGTTGCTGCTTTGCCTCCTCCTTTTCTTTCCATTACTTAGGACATTTGAGGGAGACACGGAACAGGGGTGGCTCTGTGCAGTTTTGTTTTGTTTTGTTTTGCCTTTTTTTTTTTTTTAACCCAAGCTGTAATGAATCAGGACTAAGACCGAAAAGAACGCGCAGAATTCTGCCTTGAGTCCAGGCAAACCTGAGAGCCAGCCAGGCACACTTGTGCTTCTCTGATGTAGGTCGATTGCGCTCAGAATTTAACCATTTTCTGCTTCACAGACTTCAAACAGTGGGCCGGCAAAGAGCAGTATAAGTTCTTCAAAATCCCTGTCATTAAAGATGAGTTCTTTCTCCAGCCCCGGATTGTGCATCCACCTTCCAGGTGCTGGCAACCAGCCCCTGGAGCAGCAACTCTGAGGGTTGGAATCATGGTCTTACTCATCCCTCTGTCCCTGGGAATAGAACTCCGGGAGAGAGGAGCAGATGAATGACAGAGATCTCAGATCGTGTTTTAGAAAACCGTACAAGATGTTTGCAGACACGCTAGGGGATCAAGAACAAGATCCAAACTGGACTTTGGTCTTGCCTCAGCCTATGGCAGTCTCCCACCCCTAAACCTCATGGAGAAGGCAGTTTGCAGCAGGACTCAGCAAGCTTCTTCCCTGAGACTGTAACCATCGAGAACTTGGACTCTTAAAAGGGTTACTGTTCTAAAAAGAATTGTAGAAAGGAAAGATACTGCCCGGAGTACCAAGCTGGACTTCTTCTGGTCTTCGCATCATTCTTCCCTTTTCCCGCCTCCAAGATGGGGGAGGGGAGAAGACGCTGACTTCTTAAACTTCAAGGGAGGGGGTGGGGGGAGGAGTATGGAGAGTCAAAGGGTGGCTGCTAAACTAATTAATGTAACTTCACAGGCTGTTCTGAAAGTGTGAAAACTTTCTTCTTGCAATTGTATTAATTAGATGCTTCTGGCCAGAAGAGTTCAACCCCCAGCCTCCTTCCCTGAGCTCCTTTGCTTTCCGTTAACTAGAGCTAACAGATGTGGTTGACACATGTCCCTATTTCACTTAACAGCTCAGTAAATGACATTTAAGGCAGTGGGTCCCGTTGGGTCTCTACTAAAAATAAGAATGAGGGTTGCCCAAAAATGTCCCTTCTGTGGAGCCAACAGTACAAAAGCAGGTCAAAAGTAGGCCCCCAAGGCTCATACATCCTAAAGGAGGTATTATGGGTCAGATGACCCCTCCGTCCAGGTGACGGTGAAGTTAAAAGGGAGAAAGAGTTTCCGAAAGTGATCTGTAAATGTGAGACAATAGTCCCCATTTCCGTTAAGATGTGGCGGGAGACCATGCTGTTTTAAAACTGTCTTAAAACTGAACTTTAGGGACTGGGCATATAGCTCAGTACCCAGGGCCCAATCTTTACATCCTAAATCAAATCAAATCTCTAAGCTAGGAGCACCCGTTTACCAAGAGGGATCCCAGAACTCTGGAACCACTCTTCCCACACAGCCTCCGGAAAAACGGTGAGTCTACAAGCAGAAGCTGTTAATTACCATTTTATAAATCTGGCTCATGGAAACAATACCAAAAATTGCCTCCCTCCTCCCCTCGGCGGGAACTTAAGGAAATTCAGACCCAAGGGCCTGTGTCCCATGGGGTCGCACGAGACAGACAGCACTGAGTACTGACCTGTATGTGTTCGTTTGTGTATTTTGAGATTTTCTGATCTAGCAAAGACTTTCCCACACCCTGGGAAAGGACAAGGGAAGGGCTTCTCGCCCGTATGCACGCGGATGTGATTTACAAGTTTGTATTTGGCTTTGAAGGGCTTGCCCTGTCGCGGACACTCCTCCCAGAAGCAGATGTGGTTAGCCTGCTCTGGGCCACCGACGTGCTCCACGGTGACGTGCGTGACCAGCTCGTGCATGGTGCTGAAAGTTTTGGAGCAGGGGCGCGGGGACACTGGGCCATCCTCGCCTAGCCACTTGCAGATGAGCTCCTGTTTGATGGACTGGCGCATATAGCGGAAAAAGGCTCCAGGGCCATGGGGTGCGGCGAGGTTCACGGTCAGGTTCATGCCGCCATAGCCGTGCAGGGCTGTGGCTGTTGCCAAAGGGTCGCTGCGGGCCGTGGGCCCCGGTGCAAAGGGTTCCGACCTCGCATACATGTCTCCAGGGAGCCCCAGACGCAGGAGTCCGTTCAAAGGACGGTTGTGGGAGGCCTGGGGAGGTTGCTCATGAAGGCCCGGAAATACCGAGGGGCTTGAAGCGGCGGCGGCGAACTGGGGCCCATGGTGTCCACAGCTGCTACCTGTTGTCGAGACAAACAGCGTGTATAAGAACCGGTGGAGTGGGCTTCGCACTTTCCCCGGCCCCCGGGGACAAGTCCTGCCCAGCCGCATCTAGGTTTCTGGCGTTGGTGCTGGGATCTTGAGCAAGTCGGTGCCAGCTGTGAACCTGGAGGACCAGGCAAAGCCAAAAAGCCTCCGCCTTCGGTCCGGCTAGGCTGCAGTTCTGCCGTCCCCTGCGGAGCCATGAGCTGGAGAGGGGCAGTGATAATGGGGTAGGTGGGAGAGGCTACCAGACTGAGTCTGTGGGTGCCTGGGGGCACGGCCTCTGCGGCAGAGGTGTAAAGACCCGTATCTCAAGATTACTTTGTCCACCAACACCAAGGGGTGCTCCCGGGCCAAAGATGGAGGTGATGGGGGGGGTCATTTTGGAGGTGGTGACGTTAGAAGTGGTAGTGATTTTGAAGCATCCTAGACGTATATATTAATTTCAGTGTCCCACTGGGCCTGGAAAGGACCTCCTGCTGAACCTCGGCCTGGCAGCCGCCAGTACCACTGCAGCCTAGCAGTGCAGAGAAAGGACAACCGAAAAAAAAAAAAAAAGACTTATGCAAAGTGGTGGGGATTTTTTTGTTTGTTTGTTTGTTTTTGCGTTTTTCTTTTAAGTTTTGGGTTTGTACGCCACCCCTTTTCTGTGTCTTTAATGTCTGTGTGAAACCCCGGACACTACAGAGGCGGCAGCAGGGCGCTTAAGGAAATGAATAGATTCGGGGCCATGGTCCGGGCCACCGTGAGAACAATCGCCTATGGCGCCCATTGGCCAGTGGCCTGGCCCGACGTCAGTGATGACAGCTCTCTCTCTCTCTCTCTCTCTCTCTCTCTCTCTCTCTCTCTCTCTCTCTCTCTCTCTCCTCTCCTCTCCTCTCCCTCCCTCCTTTCACTCCCTCCCCCAACCTGAATAGCATTTCACGCTTCCACTGCTCATGCGCTCTGATCCAGGCA